AATATGGTCCAACTGTGGAAAGAGGTTTGCCATTTCTATCAATTTCAGCTATTATTTTGATATTTGTTTCATAACTTTTATTTTATTTTTTCGTTATATATATATATATATATAATATATGGGATCTCAAATCTGTGTGCTTTATGATGGTTTTGAAAGCTTTGTTCCTTCCTAGTTCCTTATATGAACACCCTTCTTACACATTTTTATAACACAGTTAAACAAACACAGTTAAGTTTGACTGAAAACAACTTCTTGAACCCCCAGAATTGATCACGTGTCTTTTGCTTTAAGGATTAGAGCGGTGAAAGCGGATACATTTCTTCTTTCTCAAAGATATCGATGAAGATCGGAACCTCTCTTCTTACTTAGTCTTTGTTATAAGGGACTTGTGCAGAAAGAAGCATCCAGAGATGAATATGAATGTGGATGAGAGAATTATATAAAGGGGGAATATGGGAAGTCAGGATAAAAGTCTCAGAAAGCAGAAGCTGTTTACTTAACTTCTTAAATAGGATATGGCTGCTTTTGTTGTTAAGAACTAAGTGTTACTCACCCCGACACGAGAAGCCATTGTGATCAATATCTCACTCTTGGTCCATTCCTCGTGGAAATTCTGCAATAGATTTGTAGTCTGTCATTGCAATAAACGCATTTTACCCGGAGAAATAAGAAACATAAAGAAGCTGTGGAAGCAAGGGTAATTGTTGCTGTTATCGGCTTTTTTCTTTTGAAATTGATTAATGGTGGAAGCAAGGGCTTCGAATGTAGGGAGAAGCTGCAAAGTGGGAGAAGTTGAAAGCAAAAGGGATTTGTGAAACAACATATTGACACCTTCTACAAGGAGTAGGACTCTAAAGTATCTACATGCCGTCTGCTGAAGAAGGGTTAAAAATATAAAAAGAAGCAGAGAGAAATAAAAACAATTTATAATAAGCAGAATTATATTATGATAATCAAAATGCGACAATTCCATTCCTTACTGAAGTTAAATGTAACAGTAGTGATATGTTCGTATTCAGATGGTTTTTTTTTTTTCAACAACATTTTCTTTCTTTCATTCATTCTTTTTTTTTTGTTTTTTTTTTCAAATGTCGGTTTTCAATCAATTCATTGTCTTTCCAAATGATCACAGGGCTCTTTGTGTGCTGCTAGGCGTGCTGCTGCTTTTGTGCGAGGAGATGATGTCCTTCACAAGTTATTTACAGAACTGGCCTACCGATACAAGTAAATTTTCGAACTAGTTTTTTTTTTTTTTTTTACCATCTTCTCTTTAAAAACTGTTACACTGATTGGTTGTTGCATTGCAGAGATAGAGCAGGTGGATACACAAGATTGCTTCGGACTCGTATAAGAGTTGGTGATGCTGCACCAATGGCTTATATTGAGTAAGACCATTATTTCATTATGGATATTCTTGTTCGATTCAGACATTTGTTTTGCAATCTTATCTAGGTATAGCCATGGTTTTTTATCAGATGGACCGTGAAACTTTTGACAATTTTATTATCTCAGTTGTGCTGCCTTCAACTCTATAGAGTGTTGACTAGTACATAGTATTTTTGGGATAGAGATGGAAAATATCTGGACAAGCTGAACATGTAGCTTCATTTTGTCTTTCTGCTGAGCAGCATAAGAAATGCTTTCTACACGTACTAGGATAAACTCCTTTAGTGAGAAACCCTAAACCCTAAAGATTGAGTGGATAGACCACAGCAACCGGAGAGGCAAACGAGTCTCTTTCCTTTAGGCTGCTATCTTTATCGTTTGATGACAGATTTGGTTTTTGTTGTTGTTCACCGAGTTTGGCCTGCCTTTTAACTATCTATTTCTTCTGCTTATGTAGGTTTGTTGACAGAGAAAATGAACTGAGACAATCTAAACCCCCAACACCTCAACCACCCCAAAGACCGCCTATGGATCCATGGACAAGATCCAAGCTGTGCAGACAGTATGCTCCTCCAAAAGAAGAAAAAAGCTCCGAGGATGAGAAATGACTACAAGCTTTTGGAGTTCATTTTTCATACCCTATATGGAATAGCTTCCGTTTCTTGGAATTATAAACTACAATGTTTCGAGTGAAAGGATTTCATTGTAATTCTGAAATTCTCATCCATTTTCAGATGTTTAATAAGCATTTCAATTGCGCGATGTGTATGCCCATTTATTCATTCCACGTAGCTTCGAAGTTAAGGGCTTATAAAGGATCAGACGGATCAGAAAGGCCTAACCAAAGTGTCGTTTTCTGCTTCCTCCTGAGTTTGGCCGAATCTATCAAAAGAAGCCATTATCAGGCCATAGCACATAAGAGGTTAGGAGTGCATGGTCAACCGGAAACTGTCCACCTCTATTGGCGGGTTCAACCTGCACCGCCCAACAATTAGTGGGTTATGATGTGATTCCGCCATGGCGGGACTGATTGGGTGGGTAGAGCAGTTTGCAGAGGGAGTGCTTCTGTTGCTAAATTATAATTTTTGCATCTGTGATAATGGGGAATCCAAATAAACACTTGTATTTTTCTAAGAAAAATGACATCTTGAGAGTTCAAAGATCTAAACCTGCATATACCAGAATGCATTCACCAAGTATTCTATCACTACTCTGGAACAATTTTTTATTTTTATTTTTTTTTTGGCCCCTTCTTATTGGTCCTCACCAATTTATCAACTTCACCTACTTCTGTCCATATCGGAACTTATCATGCACTTCTCTTTACAATTAGGTGCATTTCCACACTGAACTTCTCTTCTAATTTTTCCAATTCCGATTTCTGAATTCCCTCGCTAAACTTTTTGAGAGACCAGTAAAACAATGAGGCTTAAAAGAGAACAACAAGTCTTTGTTAACGTTTAGAAAGAAATTTGCAACGTTATATCATGAAAACATACATTTATTTGTTTTTTTTTTTTTTTTTCCACGTGAAACAAAATTTCAGAGAATTCTTCTTGCCAACTTCCTTATCAAAAGTGGTCTCTGAAAGGACCACAAAACGCCACTAAACCAAACCAAAGAACAAGACAAATTACAAAGCATGTTAATTAGTTTTATGGTCAAGGTTGCTTCCTTACGAACAATGACAGATATGGCAATGTCTCTGCCTTTCGGTTTTTTAGCTTCCAATACAAGAAATATGCGTACGTACAACTGCTACTATATTTTTATTCCTTTTTCTTGTCCCTTTTCTACTACAGCTCAATTTATGCTATTATATTACTAAGAAAATATAAATACACACATACACATATACATGCATATAAATGCACATGCAATATATATATATATATATTATTGTTATTATAAAAGTTGCATGAGATGGAGTAAGAAGGAGATACATGGCGATGGGTGCACGGTTTCCATCAATACAGTGACAGCATATATATTATAAGTACCTCTCCAATATATATTACCTACTTTTTCATCACAAAAACATTTTCTTCAGTGTAGTTATCCAACTGTCACGTGTCCCTTTAGGCTTATCCAACATTTTTATTGGTTATGCTTTGAAGTTAAAGCTTCCTAGTTTCATGATTATATCTGTGATAATAAAGCTTTCTAATTAGGCTCTTATAGCCTTTCTAATGAGATTTCACTTTTTGTTTGATGTGTTGATTGTTCAACATCCTTCCCTTAATTTTATTCCAAAGAAGCATTAAAAGTAGGAAATTTGTCATTTCATTATGTACTTGATTGCGATATTTCTTTTTCTTCTGTTTCTTTTGTTCAAAAGACAGATTGCGATATTTAGTTCTTGACAACAACCAAAAAAAAAATGAAAAGATTGTGATCAAATTTGGTTTTAGTTATTACTTGAGAAACATATATTGTTGTTATTGCTTTGTGTTTGGTGAAATAGTCTTTGAAAATGTCCTTAAACCAAAAGCACTCCCCACTAATTGATATTACTTATTAAATCAGAAAAATAAAGGATAGGTAAAAAAAAAAACACAAAAATAAAAGGAGAAAAAATAAAATAAAATCACCATATCTAGGTAGATATGGCAGTCATTTAGGTGTCCAACATTCCAATTATGGTAACCTACTAGGAATACGTATTAGTTTTTATTTTTATTTTTATTTTTAAGAGAGAGTTAGAAAGAGAGTGAGAAAGTCCTTAGAGAGTAGAGGTTGGCCGGAGCTCCAACACCACTTTTGGGCACATCACCGGACTCCCGGCTGTGAAATTTGGTCATCTGACTCGTCTCGTTGTGGGCTTCTCATTGGTGGTGGTGGTGGTGTATGTTGTGGTGGCTCTGTTTGAGCAGATTTGAACCGGTTAAGAGCTTGAAAGCTGAATGAGCGATCTCCTTTCTCAGGGGAGTTTTTCACTTGGTGACTGAGATCTCTTCACTGGATGTCTTCCTCGATGGTCCTTTGGCCGAATGCCCTTCACCGGAGGTTTCTACCGGCAATGGTCGGAAGTTTTTGTCCTTTTGTAACTTTTGTGTTTGTAATAAAGTTATTGGTTTCCCCACTTAACCCTAATTTGGTTTGTTGTTTTTTTGTTAGATTTAGGTGTTCGGCTTAAAATCGATAGGGTGGTCTTGGTCCAGCTAGATATCCCCTTTCTGTGGGTTTTGACGATCTGCCCCTCTAGCACTCGACAACTTATGTTGAAGAGATGTGTTTTCTTTGGTCAAGCTTTCACTCCGCTCATTGTTAGTGTGCCGAGGTACTTTCCCAATTTCGGGCATCAAGCATGCGTTTATCCCACTAATAAGTTAACATTGACGATTGTTTATTAGTATTTTAATGAAATGCAATTTTCCTTTCAAAACAAATTATGGTAACCTACTCTCTAAATTATTGGACACCTGGATAACTTTTCTCCTTCATTTTTACACAAGAAAAGAATAATAATATATTCGAAAGGAAGGGGAAAAAAACAGAGATAGTGTATCCTAGTTTTTGTTTTTCCTCCATATGTTTTGCATTTTGATTATATATATATATATATATATATATATATATTAACGCAACCATCTAGACATTTAATACTACCAAAAAATAAAACTAATAATGGTTTGAATATATAACAAGATATGGAAAACGGATTTAAGGGCTTAACAACAAATATAATAATTGGGTTTACCTTCGTTGGTGATGAGGTGGAACTTGGAGAATGAGATTCAGGCTTCTTCAATTCATTCAATAAAACCAGTATGTGTGATGCTTTCATTAACCTAATCATGCAACTAACATGACGCTGTTCTCTATTATTCTTTTTCCCAACCAAAATTAAAAATAAAGAATAAAAATATTCGTGTCTTCATTATTGACTTTGTCTAGCAGTTGTTAACTGGTAATTTTTAGTAGTTTTCCCCACTCTTAAGTACTTATGCAGAATGAAAAAGAAAAGAAGGGGGAAAAAAAAGTTCATTTATGCATTAAACTTGTGTTCTTGAAAGTGGTTGGTCAGTTTTTATATTTATATATATATATATTTATATATATTTTGGTAATTAAAATTTTGAGAGCTTATATATCTACACATGGATCAGAACTTGCATTCTCATGACATATTCAGAACAGCAATTACTAACGTTGTAGAACCTTATTTAATAATTTATATTTGCTTGAATATTTAATAAGTAGTTAAATACGTGTAACATATAAAACATAACGTACAAAGGGCTTCTTGTATATCTGCTATATTTGGACTATGCTTAAGAGTCAAGATTACCCTAAAACGACTACTCCAAAACAAACAAACAAAAAGTTAAGGTTCTTCCAAAACCCACAACTAAAATCTAATTCAACACTTAATTATGGTCACGGATCTAATATATTCTTGGAAGACCAAGTACCTTTTTCCACTCAGTTTTGATGAGAGAGTTAATCATTACCCCAATGACAAGTACAATTCTAATTATTCATGTTTCTTCAATTATAATTTCCTTGTGATGTCTCAGCAAAATCTCTAAATGCTGTGGCAATGACTCTCTAATTCAACTTTCCACCAAATAAAAGGTAAAGAAAAAGGGAAAAAAAAAAGGAACAAACAAATAGGAACAAATAATATACTAGATGTAACAGTAAAGAAATGAAAGAAAATCAGCTTCCAAAAAAAAAAAAAAGTTGGTGTCATACCAGAAAATAATGAGTTAGAGAAGTAAAAATCTAGAGTGGAAAGAGAATTTTAATACAAGTTTCTGATCCAATAGTGATTGAACTCTTGCTTTATTATAGTCTCAACCTGTTCATCTCTCACCGTTCTCATCTTCAGGGAAAGCTAACTCATAACATAATATTACAAGTATGTAGCTTTTTGATTTCTGCATTCTTTCACTCGTCTTTCCTTGGCTCTAAGATTTTAGATTTTCTGCTCAGTTTATACTAGTGCTCTTGTTATATGTTGTTTTCTTTTCATCTTCATTATGTAACTAAAATTGATGAAAAAACAACTCAAAAAACTCCTTTATCTTTCCCTTATGTGTGATGCTTATTCTTGTTTTTCTACAATGAATCCCTAAGTCATAAAGATAAATGGCTCTCTATCTGTTCATGTTTTTGGCAGATCAAGTATATGCTACGCTACTTTCTATATGAGAGGATCCATGGGTTCTTCTCCTCGAGCAAGCCACCGATTATCGGCTTCAATGTAAGCGCTTTCTTCCGTCTTCACAATCTACATAGAAAATGTTGGTGTTTGTTTGTCTACATGTGTAGTTGTCTAATAATATTTCTCTGAACTATATCCATGGAAGACATTCTTTTGCTCTCTGTAAAAATTAACTAGACATGTAATTGATGGAAGGGATGTCTGATTTTCTTCATCATGATTCTTACTTAAGCCTTGTCTCTGATTCTTACAAATGCTATTTGGTTTTGTGTTCTAAAGATCCATAGGAATTCACCATGATTCATGCTTTAAATCGTGAATTTTGTTTTCACTTTTTGATGAGGCCATCCAAGTTCACCTATATTGTTTAACCACGGTGCTAAAGTGTTTGTTTGCATTGTTTATATACTGAGTAGTTCTTCATTATTTTCCTTTGAGCAGTGAAGATGTATACAGAAGACGGTCACAAAGAAGTAAAACCAAGGATCCAGAGAAGCCTTTCCACCTTTCCCTCCAAGAAAGAAGCCCCAAATGCAAGTTTCCGCTGCTGAGACTTGTCCTACTTGTCATCGTTTCCGGCACTTTTGTGACACTAATATACTCTCCTGACATTTACAATAACAACCATCCATCACATTCTCCTTCTCGGTAAGTTATATCAGCTAGTCAGAACCTCGTTTTTTTTTTTTTTTTTTTTTTTTTTAATAACTTTTCAAGATAATTCAAAAGGCCTTCAGTCACAGGATTAAGTAGTGTTTGCAAGGAAAAAACTTTTTTCATGCATCATTTTGTATTAAAGGGTGACTTTTAGATTCGATATAATTGTGCACCTATCAATATGTTAAAGCCAAAGATATGCTCTCTATGAGAAGCTTGTAGATTTTCAATTCATATTGATATTCATTCCTTGGAATTCACTCTATGAAACTTCATTGAATACTTCTCATTGTCAGAATTATATATATCACCAAGCATGATCAATCCGTTGATCAATTTTATGTATAGTTGTGTAATGGTGCAAAAGTTGTATGATGCAGGCAGAGTTTTGTAAAATGGTGGATATGGGGAGGTTCAGACCCGAGATATGTCTCGGATTTGGATGTTGACTGGGATGACATATCAAAAGTTGTAAGGAAATTAAATTTGAAGAATGAATATCAGGGCATTGGCCTACTCAATTTCAACATCAGCGAAATCAATCAATGGAAGCAGATAACTCCAGATGCTGCGCACATTGTTCTGCAACTGGACTATGCTGACAAAAATGTGACTTGGGATTCGTTATATCCAGAATGGATAGATGAGGAGGAAGAAGAAGATGTTCCCATCTGTCCATCTTTGCCAAAGGTCAAGGCTCCCGGGAAAAGGCTCGATCTCATAGCCGTTAAGCTCCCTTGTAGGAATGAGGGGAACTGGTCTCGCGATGTTGCTCGCCTGCATTTGCAGCTTGTAGCTGCTGGACTTGCAGGCTCCGCCAAAGGCTACAACCCTGTGCATTTGCTCTTTGTCACCAAGTGCTTTCCGATACCGAATCTTTTTACTTGCAAGGAACTTGTGGCGCGCGAAGGAGATGCTTGGTTATATAAGCCAAACTTGAATGTGCTGAGGGAAAAAATTCAGCTTCCTGTTGGTTCCTGTGAACTTTCACTTCCTCTTGGGGGGAAAGGTATGTTCTAATCCATGCAAGTCTAGGATCAACTTTAGTCCATTTTTCTTGGAAGGATTCTAATCACAAGACAAGCAGTTTTCCCTGTCATGACAATAATACTAATCGAAACCAGTGAGATGCACTAAGTTACATAGCTCATCAACCATGGAAATCACTTTCTTTAAAAGTGGATAAACCTGACTCAAAGTAGCTAGAAACTTTGGTAATGCGAAATAATATCTTGATAAAAACAGAATTTTAATAATATTGTCCTCTATTTGAGGAAGTTTCATTCAAAAATAAAATAAAAACAGACTTCTCTCTTGTTATATCCATCATATAAGATTCCATCATATAAGATTCTCCTGTAAAGAATTGTTATAATGCTTGATGACTACTCAAAGTTCTACGTCAATTGTGAAGAACACTTATTTTTCATGGAATACCATCAATGTGCACCTATAAACATAATTGTTGCTTTCTAATCTCATAGGTGATTATTCAACAAACCGAGTCAACCAACCAAACTAAGCCAATTGATTTGAAATTGGTTTGGTTGGTTTTGTAAGGGTCCCTTTTCTAAATGGTTTTATGGTTTAAGTAGAATTTTCAAATCACCAACCAAAGTTCTTTTTTAGTCGTATTTATTCTCTTATATTTGTCATCTTTCTCAATATTTTCATACGTGTCTTTTTAGTTACATCATCCTTATTTTATGCTTATATGATTTAAGCAAAATTTTCAACTAGTTAAAATACCTAGAAGGTTTAACAGTTAGTTTTGAACAATTAACTTAAATTCCCTGTACTCACCACTAGATTCATCCTATGAGATTCTCCGGCATAGATTTGTTACGTTGATTCTTCCATGTTGTCTGTCATATTTTTCTTTTGACTTCACATAAGATTCTAATACAATTTTCTTGAAAGCAGAGGTAGTTTATTCAGGAAATGTGCACCGAGAAGCATATGCAACTATTCTCCATTCAGCCGATGTTTATGTCTGTGGAGCCATTGCTGCTGCACAAAGCATCCGAATGTTAGGCTCCACTCGGGACCTCGTGATCCTCGTCGACGAGACAATCAGTAGATACCACCAGAGTGGACTTGAGGCAGCAGGATGGAAGATCAAGACCATTCAAAGAATCAGGAATCCGAAAGCGGAGAAAGACGCCTACAACGAGTGGAACTACAGCAAGTTTCGACTGTGGCAGCTAACCGAATACGACAAGATCATTTTCATAGATGCTGATCTGCTTTTACTTAGGAACATAGACTTCTTATTTGGGATGCCCGAGATCTCAGCAACTGGGAATAATGGCACACTTTTCAACTCTGGTGTTATGGTTATTGAGCCTTCAAACTGCACATTCCGACTTCTGATGGACCACATCGATGAAATCGAGTCCTACAATGGAGGAGACCAAGGGTATCTGAATGAGATCTTCACATGGTGGCATAGGATTCCAAAGCACATGAACTTCTTGAAGAACTTTTGGATCGGTGATGATGAAGAGGTTAAACAAAAGAAGACTAGGCTTTTCGGTGCTGATCCACCAATCCTCTATGTCCTTCACTACCTGGGACTAAAACCATGGTTGTGTTTTAGGGACTATGATTGCAACTGGAATGTCGACATATTACAAGAGTTTGCGAGCGATGTCGCCCACGAGAGGTGGTGGAGAGTCCACGATGCAATGCCGGGGCTGCTGCAGCAGTTTTGCCTGCTGAGATCGAAGCAAAAGGCGCAGTTGGAATGGGACAGAAGGCAAGCTGAGAAAGGGAACTACACAGATGGGCATTGGAGAATCAAAGTGAAAGACCGCCGGTTGAAGAGATGCGTAGACAACTTGTGCAACTGGAAGGACATGTTGAAGCACTGGGGAGAGACTAACTGGACCGACACCGAGTTCTTCATTCCGTCACCGCCTGCAATCACCGCAACTTCCCTCTCTGGATTATGATTTCTATTTTTTCTTTATTTTCTCACCTCTGTCTTTCAGTCTTCATCCATTCCCATTTTGGATTTCTCATTCTTTTTGTATATCTATATCTCACACACAAACAAACTTCCTAAGGGTTTCAAAATAGCATTGCACTCAATAATACACAAACGATATAGACCCACAGAGAAATTTGGCTATCAAATTTCCTTACAATAGCTAGACTTTTCACAATACAGAAATCCCTTCCCTTGATTTTTGCAATTCATACTTACTTTTGTGTTATTAGTCTGCAAGTGCTTAGAGGTTCTTAATTATGTTTCAATTGGCCTTGGAAGAAATCTGGTTCTTGCAAGTTGTAACATATTTGGCTAGCTGAAAGGCAGAAGTGTCTACATTCATCACATCGGTAAGTTAATTTGTGAGTCGTCACATTAAAAATTCATATAAACAGAATTTCATTTAATGTGCACGTGTTGGACCTCTTTAATCCAAAATTCTCTTAACTCGAATATACGCCTTCTCATCTAGATCCCGCGTGTATTGGGAGTGTCAAAATGTCAATCAAATAGAGAAACCAAAATAAGAATTAACTCACCATCAAAGTAAAATTATCTTGCTGCATTTGAGGAATACAAGTTGACAATATAATTGGTATGTTGAATTTGTGACGATAACACATATGATATTTACAAACATTTCTTTTTTTTCTGTTAACTACTATGAGTGCCCTGCATGCCAAAACATAAGAATCTAATATCAACTACAATTATATGCAGAGTTGGGTATCGTTTAGCAAATAATAATAATTTAAGAAAAAGGATAAAAAATTATACTCATTAGATTTAGGGAATCCGTGATTTTCCACACAAAACAGCAGAAGAAGCCAAAACTGTATAACGTGGGGCAAAAAGTTGAGTCTAATTCTCATATTTAACTGACAGACACAACAAAAATAAATAACATAAAATAACATATATTTTGTCAATACTAAAACACATATTTCATCCCCTTCTATTATTGCCTCTGACATTCTGCTTTCTGCAATTCCTCGTAGGATTTGGATTTGCCAGTCATATATAAGGAAAGTCCATAATAAAGTAGTCAAATATTTATGTTATTGGCCTTGTAACATGCCACAAAAAGAAAGATAAAGAATAAATAAAGGTCTCAGAGTATTATAAGAAAGTAGATACTATTTAATATCTATATGTATATTGAAATAATTTAATACACATTTAAGAGTAGTGTCAGAGGGCGGATTATATTATAAGAATATTGAACTAAAAAAATGTGTATGGTCTAGGGCCTTCTAATGGTTGTTATTAATTGGATACACAAACAATTGTGATTTTGCATCCACATGTTGATGTTCTGAAAAGACAAAAAAAAAGGCAAATGGATTTGCATGTGAAGTTGGGAGGATAAAGAGCAATATCATATGGAAGTGGATGCCAATAATATATATATATATATATATATATATACACACACACACATCCAATTCAATGTACCATTACGTTAGACAGTGGATTTTCCACTACATATATGCTTCACGCCATCCTTCCCCCAGGCAATAAGAAAAACTTTCGGCTTGTTCAGATTTTGCCCGTTGTTTAGTTTAGTGGAGCAGGAGAATGAAAGGAAAGATAAAGAGTGGAGATTAAAGTGAGATTTTCTCTTTTTTTTTAAAAAACAAAAAAATTAAATAGAGGGTTTTGAACTCTTGATCTCAATATTAGAGGGAGAATGCGCCTTTAGCATTAAGTTATATTTATAACCACAAAGTGAGAAAATCGAGACATTGAAGTTGCTGAGAAAATTACAGAACTCTTATTTTAGAGTGTATATGTCTGAATTTTTACTACTACTCTTAATTAATACCCTTTATCAAAAAAAAACTTCAAAGTAAATTTTGTGTCCATGGAGAACTAAATAATTTTTATCTCATGTAAAATTAGGAAGGTAAAAGTATAATATGTGACAGTAAGTTAAGTCCTTAGCAAAAGAAGATCTCCCCCACTCCCCAATTTTAAAAGTAGGTAGTTTTTTCCTCCACTCCCCAATTTTAAATTTTTAACCTTCTTAATTATCAAGCATATTCGTAATTGTTAGCAGTAAATGTAAAAGGGTAGTATCAGTGTCATCTAATCTAATTATACTTTAACACCAATAAATATGAAAACTTTTAGGTCAGGTTTTTAAGTGACTCTTTGAGACAATTATTTGTATTGGTAGAGTGAACATGATTGGCACTTAATGAACAGGTAAAAATATATAAATCGATGAGCTACGTTGTGAGTCTTGTGAATAGATTTTTTTTTTTAAAGGAAAACTTTATATCATTAAAATATTGATAAACAATCATCTTGGTACAATGCTAACTCATCAGAAAGATAGATGCACGTTTGAGGTTCGAAATTAAGAAAGCACCTCGGCACACTAACAACAAGCGGGCTGAAAACTCAATTAGAAAAAATCCATCTTTTCAACATAAACTATCAAACAATAGAGGGGGGGCAGATCGTCAAAACTCTCTCCCTAACATTTACAAATTTAACTTCTATTGTGTAGATATTATGCATGGCAATATTATTGAGTCTTGTGAATAAATTAATTAGGTAGCTAACTTAGATGTAGACTTCAATTTGGGAATCCAAGTCCAAGGACAATCATAAAAGCATATCGTGCATGTGAACCCAAATTTATTGTTTCTTGCTTTTTCTGAATGCATGTGATTTGCAAATTGGGCAAATTTGGCCTCTTCTTCTTTTTGTTTGAACTGAGCGGCTGAGCCCTACAAGTACAACAATGCCGCCTCTTGTGAACTTGCTATTGTCCAATACGGGTCAATTACCAAAATCTCCTTTCATTATTACTATTATTATTATTATTTTACTAATAACCTACTTATCAAAATTACATTTCAATGCCATATAAATTAATAAGGAAATTTTCAAAAAGTTTACATTACCGGTAGGATATTGTAGAAGGATTTTTTCTCACAAAAAAAATACACGTAAATCGATAATAATTCTGAATCATGATTCTGAATCCATGAACCAAGAGTCTTACTTTATGCTTGTTTGACAATTACCCATGTTGCGTGTCAGTACATTTTTATATACTTCTTATTCTACAAACTTTATTAATGATTGTACTAATTTTGCTTATTCGAGTTGCAAATTTGAGTTAAAAAGTAAATTCATACGAGAGAAAATATTATAATAAAAAAAATTGAGTTTAATTTTTTATTAAAAGAACATTGTAATAAAAATTTGAGTTGTAATTTAAATTAGTGAAATTGATGTAGTATTATCTATAAGTCAAAATAATTTTTATTTTCTCCAAAAATTCCACGTATTCAATAGGACCATAGGTCGCTCTTACCTGTTACACTTTTTTTTTAATCTTTTTTACTAAAATGGTTTCTTACATCATATCCTAGAGACCTAACAGCAATTAGTTGTTTTTAAGGTGTTTTTAAGAGAATTGGTTCATTCATTAGCTTGTAATAACTAACCTGTATGATTCAGAAGCTTAAGGGGAAATTTCCTGCCTGGAGTTGTATGCTAAAGAAGAGTTAGAGCTATATATGTTCATTCTATACCATGAACTTTGTATGGCGGCTTTTATAAAACGTTTGACCCTAAATTTTGCTTTTCAATGTCACTTAACCTTCTTTTACCAATGGAGATGCTCACATGCAAACTTATTCTTTAAGGGACATTGTTAAAGTTTTAAATTTTGCTACCATATTCTAATTTAACAGTTGAAGAATAAGTTACCAAAATTAAAAGTTCGGAGAACACAAACGCTAAAAATCCTTTTTAAGGAGGAAATCATGTCACCATCCAAACGCTAATGAATTTAACCTAAAAAGAAAGTGAATATATGAGTAAAAGTTGTTTAGGGGGGAAGTAAGGATGGGGTTAGGAATTTCTTTTTATTATTTTTTTTTAGGGGAAGAACAATAAAGAAAACTTTCCTAGCCGTTTGGGCCTTGGGGGTGACCTCTGTAGTTTTCAGTTACGTATTTGTCAAGTTGCCTAGCAGATAGGGTCAAACATTTTTAAGATTAATTTGCCATATTGTTGTTGTTGAACCACACTCGTAATCCTCCTGGTGGTCCAATCAGATGAACATACACATTATCCTATATCATCATGTTTTTCAATTATTATTTTATACCCATTCAACTATGCTGACAAGTCAACATAGATTATAGTGTCATTCTCACATCAGAGAAACCTTACAAAACACATTCATGCATATGTAGGGGTGTACATCGGCCGGGTTCGGCCGAGCCGTCGTAATTAGGATGGGAAAACTATTAACCGCAACACCTCGACAGGCCCACAAACCTGCAGAAAAGAGGCATGCTCGGAGTCGATTCGGCTCGACCGGGTGTTCTCGGACTAGGCCAATATTACGTTCCTGAGTCTCAACAAGAAGTTCTCATTCCCCACCAAAAACAACAATGTATTATGCCAAAAGGGTATGAGAATCCCCAAAATTTTACAAAACAAAGATGACAAGGTACTAAAAAAAAAAAAAAAACAAGAGTGAGACTTTTATGAGAGGAGATTTGAGACTAGACTTTTAGAAGGAGAGAGACAGAGAGCGGCTGAGCAAGAAGGTGAGAGGGAGACTTGAGAGATAGAGAATGAGATTGATACAGAGTTCTAATTAGTCTTCTGATTGAATCGTTCGCTAAAATGAAATTTTATAACGTATTAGAACATCCCGTTAGTAAGTCGACCTGGGCTAATTCATCGGATTTTAATATTATTGACCGATTTGTGTGTATATGCAGAAATATTTTTCATTATTACAGTGGATCCTTAAAAAAAAAAAGAGTTTGTGTAAAAAACCTTTTCAGATCAATAAGAACTCCGAAACCAAAATATAAAACGAACTGTGAAAAAAAAAAAGGAAATTAAACAAATATGTTATGATCATTGGTTCCCATGAAATTTCACCCATAAAGGAGAGGAAAAAAAAAGGTTTCTATTTCCCATAAACCTCTAGTAGACCAAAATTTACAACCAAATTCTTCTAGAACTTCACCAACTCCCTAAACTGGTTACAATTTGGTTCGCTTCTACGAAGGCATTTCAATTTTCAAGTCCCCATTATATGCGTACAATAAGCATCATAATGGTGGGTGGAGATGTAGAGACACTATTAGTCATGATTTCCTTGAACTGAATGTACATCAACATTCTTAGCAAGATCAATCTTGACATAGTTTCTGGTTTGTTATTATAAAAGGGATGTGATATTCCCTACCTTGTACTAATGTCTGTGGACCATTTTACGTGGATGTGATGTTGTGGCTGGAGGTTCATTTGTCGGAATCCACTCATCTCCTTGAATGAAGCTCTCGACTGAATATGCATAGACATGCTCCGCAGGAATTTGACTACTCCATGTCATTCTCCGAGACACGTCCGACCCTGCCCCGGAGTTCTCGAATTCCCCGTAAAACAGTGTCTTCAACGCGAAATCCTGGCTCCAGGGCATCCACCCTTGGGGCGTGATGAGGGCTTCCAAGTTACAATGTATGAATACCGTTCTCGAATACTCTTTCCAGGGTCTTCCCAAGAAGTTTTTGTGCACTTGAGGCTTGCTAAGATACAGCTTCATGTACTCATCCGTGCCGTTGATTAGGCAGTTCTGGAAGACAAAACCCGTCGACTGCGCAGGGTCTGTCCTTCCATGGGCCGTGACAGCATTATTCTCGCCTTTCTCGGGCTTGAGTTGGCGGGGTCGGATTAATATCTCGCAGTCCTGGAAGATGGAGGCAGAGTTTCCGAAAATGAAGTCGACGTTGCCTTGGATGCGGCATGATTTGTAGAACTGGCGGAGGGAGTGAGCGTAGAGAGTGTCCTGATTGCCGATGAATTCGCAGTTCTCGATGATGGAGAGATCACTATCCGATCTGAATGCGACGGCTTGGTGTGCATCAGGACCCGCCGTGTTCTGGATTGTGAGACCATTAGCCATGAATCCATCCCCAAGAACTCCTGCAAGTGTTTACAACAAACACATTAACACTTAACTAATAAATCTCATCATTTTCTTCCAACTACTAGACTACATATAATCTTCTCTTCCTTTATCTTTGCTCTATTTCGTTTCAACATCTTTTGCCCATATCCAACTTAATGATCATTACTGAAGACCACACGAAAACAAATATAGTTGATAATGAAATAATTCCAAGATGATATCACGAGCTTCCTTTTAGTGCATATTTATGAGGTAAGACATGAATAAACATGGGGACAAAACTCAAAGAAAAGACCAAAAAAAAAAAAACTTAAAATTTTTAAAAAAATCTCCTTAGAAATTAAAAGAACAAATTAACAGGAGTCTTCAATTTTGACTAGAAAAAGCGTTGATTCAGGTGGCACATGTTCATTGGTTACAAGAATCAAGAACACAGCAAGTTGGCTCTAGTTTGTAAGGATGTTAATAAACTGTTAAGAGGGTAGTATGGTAATTGAGCATTGTAAATTCAATTTCTGATTAAATTAGATAAAAAGGCTTGACTATATGCTTTATGGAAGTATCAAAAAGAATAAAGAGTTCTTGAGGTTTTTCCGGATAAAGTCGTGTGTTTTGTACTGGTATTTTGTTATTCAATTTCTGTACTCGGTGATTTCTTGGTGAGGTTTTTTGGATCTGTTATCACAAAAAGGAAGCATTAATGTTGTAACATCATGTAATCATATTGTATAGTCAGTCCCCATTCTTGTCATTATTATTAGGCAACCCCACTCCAGGACCAAAGAGTAATTAAATTAAATACTCAACTGAAAATAGCAAGCAATGCTTTCCCACTTGGCAGTTGCATATATATATATATATATATATATATGAATGCATTATTCAATCCCATACGCCACGGCATAAGCTGTAGCTCTATCAGAGTAATCTACAAGGCTAAGTTATAGTTGCACATCATATCAGACAATAACGTCAAAGTATACATTTCAGTTTTCACACACACAAAACCTAAAGCATTTAGCATAGCACGCAAAAAACGACACTTGACGTAAGTCAATTACATCCAAACTCATATAATAATCGAAGATTAAACGTTAAGAATTAAAGGAGGGTATATTGTTTGATAAAGATAAAAACTCACCGACAGTGGCAGTGTTGTAAGTTGAAATCCCGGGCTGGCCCACATTCAAGGACCCCGTAATGACGGTTTTACCCATTCCATCTCCCAACAACACAACGTTCTTCTTCTCAATCCCAATCCTCACCGTCTCCTCGTATACCCCTTCCTTTACGCGTATAACAAATCTCTTCCCTCCAACGACGCCGTTTGGTGCTGCGTTCACGGCGTCTTGCACCTTCTCGTAATCACACCCTCCTCCGCCCTTGCACACCGTCACGTCCGCCGTTAACTTCGACGGAAACCCGCCTTGCGATCCCAAACCCGAGCCGGAACCCGATCCCTTCTCCCAGAAGCCATCCCTCTCTGTCCTCGGCGGGCCCCACGACGCCGTTTCGTTCCCGAAGTTGTCGTACGACGCCATCATGCTGAGCGCGTTGCTGGAGAGCCTGATGAGGACGGTGTCGAGAAGCGACATCGTTTGGTTCACCAACTGCGTGTCGTTGGCGTACTTGAGGGCCGACCAGCAGTCGTACTGGTAGAGCAGGGCGGCGCTCATCCACGCCCGGGCGTCCTTGTTCCTCCCACGTGGCAGCGCCTCACTCGCCGCCGAAATGCGGTACTCCGAGTTGCGGAGGACCTCCACGCAGTTGGCCGCGGCGATGGAGCGGTTCGGATTACCCGAGGACGAGTCCAGGATGGCCCTCACCATCGACTGGGCCGTCCGGAGATTCTCCGACGAGACGCCGATCGCCGCCGCGATCACCTGCGCCGGTGAGGCGTCCGGCGAAACGCGGGCGAGCGAGCCCTCGCACACGTCCGGGAAGCGCGTGGCCTTGCAGACGTGCATGACGGCAGACGACGCCGTGGAGGGGTTCGCAGACGGAGGCACGTGGGGAACACGCGCCGGCGGGGAATGGCCGCGGTGGTGAGAGGAGTGAGAAAGAGAGAAGAAGAGGGAGAGGGAGATGATGGAGAGAAAGAGAAGGGAAGCCATGGAGATGAGAAAGAAAGTAGATTTGTAGAGAGAGAAAGAAGAGAAAGAAGAATGGGATTTAGTGGATTTGTGGAATGTCATTGTTGTGGTCTGAATTTATAGAAGAATTGGTGAGTGAGTAATTAGACACTATTTATGAGTGATTAATGGGGCAGAATTGGATTGGCACTGGTAAAGCAAAGCAAACAAATCAAAGGCAGTTAATTTTGGTTTGATTTGTTTTTTTGTGGAATGAGAGAGAATGATTGAGGGTGAGATCACGGGTGTTAAGTAAGGAAATGGTTTTGAGAGTGATGGGTGTTGAGTTTTGAGCTTTATTCACGGACTCGAATTTCAAAAGGGGGTGGGTTTTGGTTCGGTTAAGTCTTTAGATTTGTTGGGAAAGAAGGATGAATTAGGTTATGCGATCAGATTTGCGGGAAGAAAAAAAAGAAAAAGGGAAGTTTTGTTATGTGGGTGTGTGATGATGATATGGATCGCAATGGAGAAATAGTAGCTCTTTATTTGTGTCTCTCAGATCCCTCTGCCGTTGTATGTAACAGTGGAAGAAACAAGTCGGTGAAATGTTACTCGTGGAAACAGTGGATTTTTTATTCTCTCTTTTTTAGAAAAAGGAAAACAATATCAATTAGCTTGTATTTTCGAAAAAATATATATTTATTAGTTTTGTAACGTATTCTTCACGTATTAAATTTTATTTATTAAATAATAAAAAAATTATTTATACAATTATTTAAAGATTTTAATTTATAGGTAATAATTGATAAAAAAAAATTAAGTAGAGATACATTTGAACAAAATTATTTTAACCAACTAAAAATAAAATATCAACACATGCGAAAAAATTACTCTCATAAGAATAAAGTGAAGATCAATATTTTTAAAAACACAAAAAAATTAAAATGTAAAAAAAAAATTCATAAAAAATAAAAAAGAGAGAGATATACGTGACAGTCCCATAGAAAAGAGTTTTGACTTTTTTATTTAAATCGTTAGATGTGTAAGATAGACCACACTTTTTAAAATTTTAATTAGTTTATTTGTGTATACTAGTCTAGATACGTGCGATTTATGTATTGAGTCAACTTTTTATAGCCTAAAATACGAACAACAATATAAAAAAATAGAAGAAAAATTTTACTTAAGAGCTCAAAAAGAGTGTATATTATTAGTAAACATATGTTAACGATAATTTTAAACCTGACTCTACTATAAAGTATAAATTTTAAATCCCTCACGCTTAATTTTTAGAGAGAACAAATAATGCATGTTAATAGTAGTTTAAAGGTACATTTAATCATAGAAATGCAATGAAACATTCTAAATTATAAAGGAGTTGAAGCTTAAAAAGAAAAGCGGGGAAAAAATCACCTAAACTCACCGTTTTGGAGTATTATATGATGAACATAAATTATGAGAAAAAAAAAGGAGTTGAAACTAAAAAATGAAAGGAAAAATGAAACTCATCAGTTTGGACTAATATTATATGATGAATAATAGCTACACATTCACTCTTTTATATATTTGGAATTTAAGATTTGAGATTAGAATTTAAGATTGGATTTGAGATTTAACAGGGTATGGAAAACAAAGGAAAGAAATAAAAGATTTAGACTACCAAAGATGATGGAAAACACACAAAAAAAAAAAAAAAAGAAAGAGAATGGAAAACAAAAACAAAAACAAACAAACAAAACAAAGAAAAAAAAAAGAAGAAAAAGAGCACCAAACAGTGCGTTTTAGACTACCAAAGATGAATAATAGCTTCTATCTGCACTCTTATATATATATATATATATATATATATATAGGTGAAATCAAAAGCTCCATTATTCATGTTATAAATATGAAGCTTAACATTTTTATTATTATTATATTTTCGTGGCTACTGAGGTTTTATAGATTTGAGTGAGTATAACATGTAGAGGTAGTGAACATGGTAGTCCCTGGTTGGTGGCGATTGCGATGTGAGTGAAAGGTTTGTTGATCTGTAATAGATGAATGGCAAAACCTACAACTTGGGTGAGTAGTCGATTATGCTCAAAGAAGATCGACACAGAATGACTTCCAGGACCTCCTTTGTTACCAAATCGTCTTGAAATGATCTCAAGCACAAGAGACTAAAGTGAGGTCGATAAATGGTGGGTCCAATAATCAAATGGCTGGTGGAAAATGAGGCGGTCACTCTGTGTGAAGAAAGGAAAACTTTGGGTTGTTTGATTGGGAGATTCGTCCCCTTATTCGAATCATGGTTCGTAATTCGTTACAGTATTTTCTCTTATAAAAAATACACGTAAATCGAAAATAATTTTAATCACATGGTTCTAATCCATGAACCAAACGTAATATTAGTTTTGTCATTAAGCTATCTTTGCAGACAACTTGAGATCGTTTTTTTTTTCTTTTTCTTTGACTTTTTTTCATATGCGATCACCACTTTTTACTCCTTAATCCATATCATTTAATAAACAAAATTATAGCCACCCCAATTAGCTTTATGTTTTCAAATACATTTGTTCAATTTTTAGGGATATTCTCAATGCATTGATAACTCTATTAAAAACATAGTTATTTCACTATTTTTATGCATTTAAAGTGGCTAATTTTTTAGATTTTTAGATTATTTTATTTTACTTTACTTTATTTTGAATGTTAATTTTTCATTTTAGATTTATTTCAGTTTATTTAATTTAATTTTAGTAATTTCTATTTTAGTTTTCCTTCCAAAATAATTAGTGTTCTCATTTGTGTAACAGTGGGGCTTAAATGAAAAGTTTGAAATGACATGAGGTCAAAAGTACAAAGAAAAAGGAGCTAAATTGAAAATATAAAGTTTAAATGGGTCAAAAATGTCAAGGGAATTAAATTTGGGGACTGGTTCCAGCTTGTTCGATCACATGCATTGTGCCTCACCTGATACCCGTGCACCTACACAATTCACCAGTCCCGCGCCGCCACCTGTCCACCATACTCTCCTTCCACTCAGTTCTCGCCATGTGGAAGAGCTACATCACCAACCTTAAGGCTTTGTCCTGGGCGTTGGTTCTCAGAGGGATTAATATCCCATCCTTTGGCAGCCGCTAGAGGAGAGGGGTTAGCCAAGGGAGCTCAGCGCATAGAGCCCAAGAAAACCAAAAGAAAACAAAAAGAGAAGCATTAATAAGGCTTTATGCCATTTTTGTGGAAAGAAAGAAAAAAAGAGAGCTAGCACGTTCTGGGAACACTACAAGAAAAAGGTATTTTTGCGACGACAAAAAGTCGTCGTAAAAGTCCGCATGTCGTCACAAATAACTGTTTTTACGACGATGTGTCGTCGCAGATTTGTTGTCGTAAATAATTCGTCGCAAAACCTTTTTTTGCGACGACAGTATGTTCTTGCGACGACAGGCATCGCTAATACGCCGTTACAAAATTCTCGTGATATGATAATTTTTTGTGATGACATTTCAAATTGTCGTCACAAATAATCTTATTTTTTTTGCGACGACAAGTCTAAAAAAGTCGTCACAAAAAACCGAAATTAATTTTTTTTTATAATTTTTAAAAAATGGCAATTAATTAACTTTTAATAATTTTAATTAAACATTATTATGTTACATACTGAATATAATTTATTAAGATACATTAAAAGTGAAATATAAATTAATATTAAAAACAATAAATCTAAATAAATTTATAAAATATATTATGAATACTACATGAAGTGCATATATAATGTTCAAAAAAATATAAAAGTCTAAATAAAGTGAAAAATAAAATAGTACATATAACGGAACTAATCGTCTAAGTTTGCAGTATCGCCAACAGCTGAATCATCATCAGGACTGTCATCATCTGAAGGAGGCAGAATAGCGTCTAGGTTAACTGGTTATGGACGATCAATCGTAGGTAATTAGATGTTAGGCTGCAATTTAGCCACCAACTCTAACATCTTCACTTGATTGTCATAAATCTTAACTTGTTCCCAGTATGATTTCTTTAAATAACGACTCACACGTGGGTCAGGTTGAGCCGATGATGTTGCGTCTGAGTATGAACCAGCAGATGAAGGAGAAGCCCTTGAGTAATGCTTTTGGGAGAGCGTCGGACCCACTCCTATCTTATGTCCTCTACACATGCCAAGAACTTGCTCTAAAACCCCATGCTCGTCAAAGGTGGGTCTAGTCAAGCTTGAAGTAGACTGTGTTCTCTGCGTTTGCCTCTCCTCCTCCAGGGTGTTTTACATAATGTAAGACATTATAATTATTTTTACGTCTTATAAAACCACTATTTCAGTATAAAAAAATTTAATATGAAAAGTAAAAATACTTACAAAAGTCTGTTCCGCTTGGGGATTAACCCAAGAGGCCTTTCGACGATGCATGTCCACCCAATTGTCTATGGCAGACATCGGCTCTTAGGTCTCCGTACTGACCTATCAAATAAATTACATTTGTTAAAATTCTTAAATTCTAACTAAATTTCGACAGCATAATGACTTATTTTTCATATGATCCAAAAATCAAAACCTGTAAAAAAAATAATTTTAAAAGATTTCGGCACACCATAGCTGCAAGATGTGCCACCCAAAACAATCATCACAAACATATAAATACGATAATGAAGTCAAAAAATAAGTACTAACCTTCTTATTGTGATGTTGGGAATACGATACCCTGACCGTGTAAGATTGGATACTTTTGGTTGCTACAATTAGTTTTATTTATCTCTGATATTTTCTGTTTATAATTAACTATAATAAGTAATAGTTACTTGAAATTATGTATAAAAAATCATCAAGTTTTAACAAATCTATAATTACTTGAAATTTGTCGCCGGAGAACCTATTGTATCAACGATCCCAATGAAGTTAATACCTCATGTTACTCGAGAGACTTTCTCTACCATAGCGTTTGAAGTGGCGGTACAGGAAACTTTTTCAGTCCTTGTAGCACTTTGCTGCCTCCCTATCAACAACAGACCTCAGAATACTGTTCTTATAGTTGTAGTCCATGTTAAACCAGTCCTTGCAAAACAATTTTACATCGTTAAAACGCATTGTTAACTTTAGTATAAACTATACAAATTATTGCATAAAAAAATACCAGCATCCGGTTCTAAATTGTCCTCTTGTCCATGTCGCTAATGTCCTTCCAAGCATCGTGGAAGGGCTCGCATATGTCCTTGGTATGAATACCAACTGCACTATCAAATCAGGCACCATATTTACTAAGCGCCTTCCAAGTACCTCCTGCCTCATCAAATTCTATTGTGATTTTTCCGTCTTGAAGGACCTTTTGGACGATTTCATAACCTTTCGCTCCACCTCGACCTCTACGTTGTCGAGGTTTAGGAGCTGTAAGCATATGTAAGCATTTCAAATCAACATGTACTACTATATTTATTTACTATATGATAGAACGGGAAAAAAGTCAGAATAACATACCAGACTCACAGAATGCGGGGACTCTGTGAGGACCGGAAGGAGGCTGCGCTCCCCCTGAAGAGCCAGCGCAAGTCGCTACCGGACCAGCCATCAATGCCTGTGAGCAAATTCATATTAATAACAATATTTATAAATTCAGAGAAGA